CTTCTGGCCTATGGACATACATGCAGGCAGAATACTGTATACATAATAAATAAATAAATCTAAAAAAAAAAGTAAGAAGCACTATCCTGGACTTGGAAGGAGAAAGCCAGCAGAGAAAGCCCTTTGTCCTCCTGCCACCTTGACTCCCGGCCATGGTAGACTGTGACCTTGAATTGTGAGTCAGAACAAGCCCTTCTGTGGTCATATGAATGAGAATGGCTCCCATAGGCTCATATTTCCAAATGCTTAATTAACAGGTAGTGGAACTGTTTGAAAGGATTAGAAGGATTAGGAGTTGGCTTTTCTGGAGGAAATGTGTTACTGGGAGTGAGCTTAGTGGCTTTAAAAGCCCATGCCAGACCCAGTCTCTCTCTGTCTACTGGTGGATCAGGATGTAGCTCTCTGTTACTGCTCCAGGACCATGACTGCCCCATGCTCCCTGCCATGATAATGGACTAACCCTCTGAACTTTAAGCCAGCCCCACCTAAATGCTTTCCTTTAGAAGAGTTGCCCATGGTCACGGTGTTTCTTTACAACAGAACAATGACTATGACACCTTCCTTCAGAAAATTGTTCTTGGGGCTGGAGATGGCTCAGCAGTTAAAAAGCACTGACTGAGGTCCTGAGTTCAATTCCCAGCAACCACATGGTGGCTCACAACGATCTATAATGAAATCAGGTGCCCTCTTCTGGCCTGCAGGAATACATGCAGACAGAACACTACACACATAATAAATAAATCTTAAAAAAAAAAAAAAAGAAAAGAAATTGTTCCTGACCAGGCATTTGATCACAGCAACAGGAAAGAAATGAAGGCATATATGTATAGCTTTGTCAAAGAATTAAAGGAAAAACAAAATGCACCTTTGTCAAGTATCAGGAATGATTGACCACACATCTTTCCTATGTATTAGTGAAACAAAGCCATCTAGGTCTCTGTTCTGTCTCTCTGACTTTACTGACTCTTTAGAAGATGTTCCCCCAAAAATCACAAACCCAGAAATTTGAAAAAAGCAGTCAGGGCTGGGCACATGGCTCAGTAAGCAAAAAGTGCTCACTACCAACCCTGACAATGACCTGAGTTTGATCTTCCTTCTCCAGAAACTACATGATGCAAGGAGAGAATAGACTCACCAGGATTGTCCTCTGACCTCTATACACCCCATGGCATGCTATGGCATACCAATACACACACACACACACACACACACACACACACACACACACACACACACACACACCACAGTCTTAGAATGTAGTAACTTGTTAAAAAAAAAAACCCACAAACTCCTTAGAAAGCATATAGATGCAAATCTTCATGGGGTGGGGAGCAAGGAGAGAGATAATTACTACCAAATCTGAAGGCCCCTTCAGAAATTATCATGTAGAAAACAGAGCAGCTACCGCAGGATCCCAGCCTGTGGGCACCAGCAGCCTTCAAGGGTGAGAGCCACTATCAATGTTGCTATGGGGAGGTGATAGAGGATGTCCTTCTATATGCTGTGAATATGTTTCTCTTATTAGTTGATGAATAAAGCTGTTTGGGTCAATGGACAGGCAGGATTTAGCTAGGCAGGAAATCTAAACAGGCATAGAGAAAGAAAGTAGTAGGTGGAGTCAAGGAGATGCCATGTAGCTACTGAGGAAGCAAGAGGCCTGGGCATCACTGGTAAATCAAACCATGTGGAGACATATAGATTAATAGAAATGGATTAATAATTAAGAGAGTGCTGGCCTATAAGAAGCCTGAACCACCAGCCAAACGGTTTATAATTAACATAAGCCTCTATGTGTTTATTTAGGACTAAACGGCTGTGGGACCTGGTGGGACAGAAACTTCCATCCACAGGAAGATCTTCCAGAAAACGTGGGACGATTCAGATGGGGGGACAGAATTACCAAGAAGAGTTACAACAGGGACAAAAGCCGGACACTGGACAACAGCCTGGAGTTTTACAGACTGCACAAATCCCATCTCAAAGCTGTACCTGTACTGCAAAATGTTCACAAGCTCTCCTCACGGCCCCAACAGGTGACCTTGAGCAACAGGCCTGGACCCCTCCCTGTCACCTCCACAGAAACTGCTCCAGTAACTGCCCAGTCTCTTTTCTACACCATCCACTTCTCCCTCTCCCACCAGAGCAAAAGATGTTGTAAAATCTTCCCCTGAAAAGAGCAAACCCCTCCCTCAGCCCACACACTCTCCAGCTGCCAGCCAACGTCTTTACAACAAAACTCCCAGGAAAATGTGACGTCCTTCTGGACAGGTGTTTCTACTTCCTCTGCCACGGGCTCCAGTCAGCTACATCCCTGACCACCTTCTTACCTTCTCAGTCTCTCCTCTTACATTTACTTCTTTCCCAACCTCAAACACTGCGTAGAGCATTGTACTGGTTAGTTTCTGTAATCAACTTGGCACAAACTAAAGTAGCCTGGGAAAAAAAGAACCTCGATTGAAGAATTGCCTCCGGTGGGCATGTCTGTGGGGAATTGTTTTCATTGATGATTGATGTGGAAGGGCCCAGCCTACTGTGGACCACACTGTCCTAGACAGGTGAACTTAAGAAAATCCGGCTAGCAAGCCAGAGTGAGTCAATATGCAGCCTTCCTCCATGGCCTCTGCTTCAGTTCCTGCTCCGACTGCCTTCACTGATGAACTGTGACCCGAAGTATAAACTCAAATAAACCCTTTTCTTCCTTAATTTCCTTCACCATGCTTTTGGTCATGGTGTTTATCACAATAGAAAGCAAACTAGGGCAGAATTTCTTGGTCGGAACTTGTCCTTGATGATTTCATCTACACCCCATTAGTGTTATCTACAAATGGGTATCTGCAAGCCTCTCACTCTCAACCTCAAGCTTCAGATGCTTACATCTGTATCAGGGGTTCTCAACCTTCCTAACGCTGTGACCCTTTAATACAGTGCTTCGTGTTGTGGTGACACCAACCATAAAATTATTTTCATTGTTACTTCATAACTATAATTTTGCTACTGTTATGAATTGTAGTGTAAGTATCCAGGTTTACCCATTATGAACTGTAATGTAAATATCCATGTTTTCCGATGGTCTAAGGTGACCCCTGTGAAAGGGTAGTTAGACCCCTAGAGGGGTCACAACCCACAAGTTGAGAACCGCTGATCTATATGATATATTCCCATCTTACATGTACAACAGCAAAATCTTTTTGTTGTTTTTCATGAAAAGGTTTCTCTGTGTAACAGCTCTGGCTATCCTGGAACTCACTCTGTAGATCATGCTGACTTCAAACTCACAGAGATTGAGGCCTCCCCAGTGCTGGGACCAAAGGTGTGTGCCAACACCACCTGGCATATTTTTTTTAAATCACCTATTCAAGCCTGTTTCTACTCCAGCCTTCCCATCTCAAAGATGTGGACACCACCCATTCAGGTACTCTCACCTCTAGGAGTCATCTATATGCATGCGTGAGTGTATACATGTGTACCTGCGTGTGTTCTTGTGTACACTGGCACCCATGTGCGTGAATGCATATTTATGTGTGTACCTGTGAATATAAAAGTCAGAAGTCAAGTCAATCTCATGTGTTGTTTTTCAGATGCCCACCTTGTTTTTTGAGACGGCTTCTCTCACTGGACCCTGGGGCTTACAGATTAGGCTACAATAGCTGGCCAGCAAGCCCCAGATTTTCCTGTCTCCACCTCCCCAGAGCTAGGATTACAAGTGCACGATGTCACTATATTGGATTCTTATGGGATCTGACGTGAGTCATCATGCTTGGGTGGTAAGCACTTTAATGAACTGAGCCATCTTCCCAGTCCCCTAGAGTTATCTTTGAATGTTCTTTCTCTCAGACAACATCCAATCCATTAGAAAGGTCTGTAAACACTACATCCAAAGCACAGCCCGAATCTAATGACTTCTCCATCTCTGTGCTCCGCCCTCCACTACAGTCCTCTTTGGACCACAACCTCCTACTGCTCTCCTGCCTCCCTGGCACAGCAGTCCACCCAGACCCATTCAACTGCAAAGCATGGCATGCCACTTTCCCATTTGAAAACCTCTGCGTTCTCCCTGGGCTCAGAATAAAGCTCAGCAACTACTTACTTTAGGCCAGTTTCATCATCTACCTCCCTACCTGTGACCCCCATCAGTGTCACTGTCCCTTGGCTACCACCTTCAAGCCACACGAGCCTCTTTGCTCATTGAACTTGAAGGGTTTTGTACCTTAGACACTTTTTTCTGAAATGTTTTGCCCCTACTGGTCACCAAAGCAAGAATCCTTCTTGGCATTCAAACTTCAAATGTCACCTGCACAGAAAAAGTCATCACGACCTTCCAATCCAAATCACCCAAGCACTCCAAATCGAATCCTCTCATGTTACTTTTCTGCCCAGCAGACACCACTACCTGCTATTATCATTTGCTCACTCTTTGTTTCCTTTCCTCCTGCGGGTTTCAAAGCAACGAGCAGGAACAGTGAGCACCTCCCCTCCTTAAAACTCATCCATCAGTCTCAGCCACTATACAAGAGTCCCGGGTCTAAATAGTGTTTCCAAGTTGGTGAAGAAATGAATTCTGAATCACAATCCACCACAGTACACCTAGTGCCAGTCACACCACGGGCCGGAAGACCTTTGGTTAGTTCATTCATTCGATAAACAAACATTTACCGAGCTCCTACTCTATGCCAGTGGGGCAAAGGATCAAAGGCACGTTCTGACTCCCAAGAACCACAGGAAGCAAAGTGAGGGACGCTGCAACCTTCCCCGAGCAGGAAAGATTAAGACTGTACGCGTGTCCCTTACGGCTTCGAAATCAGACAGAGTAACTAGTGCAGCAGCACACCGCGGACCAGAGCTCCCACTCCACTAGCCCAGGCAGAGCCCACAGTCCGCGTTCGTTCGTCTGCGCTCAGCGCCCGCCGAAGACTCGCGGGTAGAGTTCCAGGACTATCATTGGCTGGCCGGGAGCCCCACCCCCATCCCATCCCAGAGGAGCAAGGATGCAGCCGCCCGGGTCCCGCTGCAACTCTCCTAGGCGATCCCAGGCAGCGAGACCAGACACCACCTTCCACTAGCGTCGCGGCCCCTCTTCCCCCTCCCCCACTCCCAAGCCCTCAGGCCACGCTCCCGACCCACACGAGTCCTATTCCCTGACACCCGCCACTGTGCCCAACGCATGCCCCGGAGGTAGGCGTGTCCTGGGAGCCTAGGAGTTTGCTGGCTCCGCCGCCGGCAGGCGGGAGAGACCGGGCCAGGCCCCCTGCGGCGCGGCGAACCCCGGTGCGCGGCCGTCCCTGAGCCCGCCACCCTCGGACACACAAACCCCGGGCACCGAGCCCGCCAAGGCTGCGGAGGAGAGAGTCAGGAGCGACCGCGGTGCAGGCTCACTCACTCGATGAAGAAGCTGGCGCCTTCCTCCGTGAAGCCCTCCTCCCAGCCGCGCGGCAAGTCTGAGGGAAGGCGAGAAAAGTCGGTCAAACTCGTGCGTCCGTGGCGTCCCCCCACACCCCCCGCTGGCCCTGCGCCCACCTGAGCGGATCATGTGACCAGAGTTGACCGGCTCGCCGGTACGCGGGTGCAGCCAGGTCGTGCAGCCGAGCTGGTCACTGCGGGAGAGGTGCACCTGTTAGCGCCACCGCCCCACACACCCGCCCCGGGTCCCAGCCCCCAGCGCCCGACCCCACCCGAGTGCCGCCGCCCCTCGCGCACTTGATAAAGAACACCCGGCCGTCCCGACAAACGCCGTACGACCAGTGCTCAGGTAGGGTGTCCCGCCCGACCGCCGCCGCCATGTTCGCCCAGCACCAGAGCCCCGGACCGCGGGAGGGGGGGGGAGGGGTGAGGGGGCGGGGCAAGGGGCGGGGCGAGTGGGAGATAGGGGTGCAAGAAGTTAGAGTGGGAGGGGCAAGAAACAGGGAGTTGGAGTAGCAAGAAGTGGGAGAGCAAGAAGTTGGATGGGGATAGGGAGGGAAGGGGCAAGACATGGGGAGGGGTAGGGAGAGGGGTCCAAGACGTTGGAAGGAGTGAGGCGGCGAGGCAAGTAATGGAAAACGGACTGGGATGGATCCCACTGTGTTCTGTGCTGGATGCATGCGTGGGCTCCCAGCCTTGGTGACTCGCGGTCTGGTGCCTGAGCCCGAGGTTGCGGCCGGTACTCCAAAGTTCACTGGTGCAGGGGCAGGGACCGGCAGGAGCGCAGGGCCCCTCAGCCTTTGTCCCCGAGACCCGCGGGCAATGGAACACACTGCCTCCTCTCTCACACACACCCTTGCTTCAGGAAAACCAGCCGACCTGCACGGCGCTCTCCCGGAAGTGTGCTTCTTTCTTAGCCTGGGAACACCGAACAGGTTTCTGCTGGATTCCGGAGAGAGCAGCAGCTCCAGGGCTTCTGTGAAAAAACTTGCCTGTGATTCCAGCTCCGGGGAGACTGAAGCAGGAGGATTGCTGCAAGTCGGGAGACAGGACAACATGGACTACTATGAGACTCTCAAAAAGTGAAGTTAAGAATGAGGTCTAGCAGGGGCTGTGTGCAGAATAGGTGTAGTAGCTTCCCTGGAACCTGGCACACAGTGGGTCCTCTAGTACCCAGCAGGGCAAGCTTGCATTCATCTTCCCCGGCTCCCAGCAGGGACAGGTCCTCTCCATGCCCCCACATATCTGAAGCTGCAGAGATCACAGGCTGCTTCTGCCCTAAGCTCTCACAGGCGACAAAAAAGAGGTGACGTCTAGGTTTCCCTGCTGTCGCTTTGGAAGAGCTGTCCATCTGCAGTCTGTAACACTAGCCTCTAAGTATCCAACTCTGGGGGGCTCTCCTGAACCCCCAGAGCAAAGAAGACCCTTCTGCTTCCTTAACTCTCTTGTTTTCACCTCATTGGCATTTGTGTGTTTACTCTCTTGTTCTCCCAAAAAACTAAATGTGTCAGCTAGACAAGAGAAGGAACCTTGGTATGTCCCAAACTCCAGGGACCTGGGTGCCTAAACAATTCTGGCTCATGCTTACAGTAACTCCTCGATGGGAGAATGGAAAACTCGCAGACACCCTGTTCTGTCACACTGCAAGTGGCTGGAGCAGGAAGCTAGGCTCCGGGCAAGGGTCGGGCCAGCCTGCAGGGACACAAGCTGCAGGTCTAGAGCCCACCTTACAGTACAGCTGCCCAGTAGGTCCTGGCATGAGAGAGGTGGGAGTAGGCTGGACCCTGAAGGTGGCGCAGCCAGAGCGTTGCAGATGAACTAATGGAGTGTAGGTGTGGGAGGCGTGTGCAGTGCTAGGAAGACCGCACAGGGATCCTTCCTCAGAAGCAGTTAGAAAGGAGAGAGTTGCTGTGGTTGGGAGTGAAGAAACTTCTGTCTCTGACCCAGTTCTTGACCGAATGAACATAGAAAAATGGCATCTTTGTTATTGAACACTGATTTTAAAACTATGTTAAATGCACAAGGACATGAACACACAGTTAATAGAAATGAACCACAAATGACCTTTAAGTAAATGGGAAGATAATTGGCCATTGCATAATATCAAGTATACAAATGAAAATTATAGTAGAATTCTATTTTGTAGATGTTAGATTGTATTTTTAAAAAAACATGCTTATTCATTGTTGCTGGGACTACAAAATGATTCTGTCTCCTTGAAGGCAATTTGGCAGCTGCTGTTACAAGTAAATACACATTGCTTTGACCAGGCAACTCTACCACCAGGAATTTATCCCACATGAAATGTTATATCCCTTCAGTGTGGCTCAAGAGTAGCATACTACTGTTACAGAGCACCTACTAGGTAGGTCCTAACCATTTGTACTCCTGTTTCAGGGGTTCTTATGCCTTCTGAACCTTGAGCACACTGCATGCAGGCAAAATGTATATACATAAGATAAAAAATATTTTAGAAGCATTTCAATCACATACTACCATGTGTCCCTGACAGTGTCCTCACGAGGACTTATTCCAGAAAATTACATGTTGTTTTTCCTCATAAAAATGTGTGTATAGGGGCTGGAGAGTGGTTAAGTGTTCTGTGGTTAAGAGCACTGACTGTTCTTCCAGAGGACTCAGGTTCAATTCCCAGCACCCACATGGCTGTTCACAACTGTCTGTAACTCCAGTTCCTGGAGACCTGACACCCATGACAAACACCAATGGATATAAAACAAAAATAAAGAATTTTTTTTAATGTGTGTATACCCAGGCAGTGGCGACATACACCTTTAATCCCAGCACTCAAGAAGTAGAGGCAGGTGGATCTCTGAGTTTAAGGCCAGTCTGGCCTACACAGCTAGTTCCAGGACAGCAGGGCTACACAGAGAAAACTTGTCTTGAGAAAAAAAAAAAAGAAAGAAAAGAAAAATGATGTTAATACCAAGTTTCCAAAGAGCAAAGTCAGCCTTTAAAAAAAAATCACATTTGACTCTACAGTATTCTCAAAATCTAATACCCCAATACCCAATATTGATTTTAAAAATTTATTAGGGCTGGACATGGTGACACATGCCAACTGAAGGAGGCAGAGGCAAGTGCATCTCTGAGTTCAAAGACAGCCTGGTCTACAGAGTGAGCTCCAGGACAGCCAGGACTACATAGAGACCATGTTTCATAAAACAAAAACCAGGGGGCTAGAGAGATGGCTGGATGGCTCATCGGAAGACCCCCAAGTTTGATTCTCAGCCCACATGGCCACTCACAACCATCTGAAATTCCAGTTCCATGGGATCTGACGCCCTCTCTGGCCTCTAAGGGCACTGCATACACAAGGTGCAAAGGCATACAAGCAGGCAAATACATCTACATACATTTTGTTTTGTTTTGTTTTTCGAGTCAGGGTTTCTCTGTGGCTTTGGAGGCTGTCCTGGTTGTAGACCAAGCTGGTCTCGAACTCACAGAGATCCGCCTGCCTCCGCCTCCGGAGTGCTGGGATTAAAGGCCTGTGCCACCACTGCCGGGTTGTTTCTTTTTGAGACAGGGTTTCTCTATATAGTTTTGGCTGTCCAGGAACTTGCTCTGGTTGGAACTCACAAAGATCCACTTGCCTCTGGTCCTGAGTATTGGGATTAAAGGCATGTGTCACCACTGCCCTGCCTATTTTATTTTTAATCTTTAAAACATTATTAAGAGGGCTGGAGAGATAGCTCAGAGGTTAAGAGCACTGACTGCTCTTCCAGAGGTCCTAAGTTCAATTCCCAGCAACCACATGATGGCTCACAACCATCTATAATGAAACCTGGTGCCCTCTTCTGACATGCAGGCAGAACAGTGTGTATATAATAAATAAATCTTTAAAAAAACATTATTAGGAGTGTAAATAAATAATGACTGTGTGGCTAGTGAATGTACAGAGGAACTGTGTCTCATACTATAGTGACAGTTTAATTTTTTAAATTTCTAATCAGGTGCCCATAACACCTGATTGGTCTAATAAAGAACTGAATGGCTAATAGCTTGGCGGGAGATAATAAATAGAAGGAGAAATAGAGAAGAAAGAGAAGTGGGAAAAGGAGAGGAGGATACCAGGGACCAACCACCCAGCCACACAGCAAAACACAGAATAAGAATAGAAAAGACATGTAGAGAAAGGTAAAAGCCCAAAGGTGAAAGGTAGGCGGTATAATTTAAGAAAAGCCGGTTAGAAATAAGTCAAGCAAAGATTGGGCATTCATAAGAATAAGCCTCTGTGTGCTTATTTGGGAGCTGGGTGGCAGGCCCTCCAAAGAGTCAAGGGGTAAAATACAACCAACAACAGGAGCCAGCATCAGACTCCCTGGAACGGGAGTTATAGACCTCTGCTAGCTGCCATATGGGTGCTAGGAATTGAACCCAGGAAGAACGGTCAATGCTCTTAACTACTGAACCATCTCTCCAGCCCCCTAAATGTAATTTTGAATATTTTATTTTTAAAATTACAGCAATGAAGTATTGGGAAGGAAACCCCAGAGATCATTTAACAGCACTTGCCTGACTGAGGCAGGAGAATCTAATTCAAGCTATCCTGAGCTACATGTCAAGACCTTGTCTCAGAGACAAAAACAATAAAAACATAGGTGTGTAAATCACAACCATGATGGTGAAAAATCACAGGATTTTGCAGAGAAATGATGACAACTTCAACTTCATTTCATATTTAAATGTATATAAAGCTACAGTAAAATTTATACATATATTCCGTAAAACTTAGAATTTCTTTTATTTTTGTTGTTGATTTTTGTTTTGTGTGTGTGTGTGTGTGTGTGTGTGTTTTTGTTTTTTGTCAAGACAGGGTTTCTCTGGGTAGCCCTGATTGTCCTGAAACTAGCTGTGTAGACCAGGCTGGCCTTGAACTCAGAGCTCCACCTACCTCAGGCTCATGACTACTGGGATGTGTCCCCACACATGGGAATAGCGTAAGATTGAGAAGATGGAGTAGCTCTCCAATCATGATGATTTTGGATGGAAGGACCCATCGATTTGGAGAAGGAAGGCTGTAGTATGAACCTGTTTCCAGGGTCGTGGCATGCCTTAAACTGCCTGTAGGCAGGAGGAGATGCCAGGAGAGCCTTCTCTGTCAGGGAACCAATCTAGTATTTTAAGAAAAGCTCCGGGCGTTGGTGGTGCATGCCTTTAATCCCAGCACTGGGGAGGCAGAAGCAAGCGGATCTCTGGGAGTTCCAGGCCATCCTGGTCTACAAAGTGAGTTCCAGGAGAGCCTCCAAAACAATACAGAGAAACCATGTCTTGAAAAACAAAAAACAAAAAACAAAAAAAACAAAAACAAAAAAAAGCAGCAAGTTCCAGGATAGGCTCCAGAGCTACACAGAGAAACCCTATCTCGAAAAACACAAAACAAAAAACCTGCCTGGACCTCACCTGTGGTGTTGGGTGACCTCCCCAGGTATTTCTAATGTACGGCCAGTTAATAACCACCACTACACACTTTCCCACATTTCTCTCTCTGTGATTAAGGAGGGGCACTTTACCAGCTAAGAATTGACATTTAAGTCTGAATTCAGAGGCCGTGAGTTTTATTTATTTATTTGTTTGTTTATTTTAGTTTTTCGAGACAGGGTTTCTCTGTGAAACAGCTGTAGCTATCCTGGAACTTGCTTTGTAGACAAGGCTGGTCTTGAACTCACAGAGATCTGCCTGCCTCTACTTCTCAAGGTCTGGAATTAAAGGCATGTGCCTCCCTGCCCAGCCATAAACTTTTTTGTTTTGTGATGGGGGAAGTCCTTCTGTGTATATGTTTGTCTTATTGGTTGATGAATAAAGCACTGTTGGCAAATAGGGAAGCAAGATAGGTGGGACTAGGAGAGGTGGAGGATTCTGAGCACAGTCAGTCACCACGTAGGATTCGAGAAGAGTAAGAGGTCCAGACTTTTTCTCCAGTAAGAGAAGACCACGTGGAAATACTCAGATTAGCAGTTATGGGTTGATAATTAAGTCAGAGCTAGCCAATAAGAAACCGTACCAAACATCCAACAGCTTCATAATTAATACAGTATCTTGCATGTTCATTTGGAACTGATGCTGCTCAGGGACCAGGATGGCAGGAAGAATGCTTGTTACAGTTTTGTTTTGTTTTTGTTTTTTGAGATAGGATTTCTCTGTGTCTTTGGAGGCTGGCCTGGAACTAGCTCTTGTAGACCAGGCTGGTCTCAAATTCACAGAGATCTGACTGCCTCTGCCTCCTGAGTTCTGGGACTAAAGGCATGTGCCACCACTGCCCAGCCAAAAACTTAAAGTGATTGTTTGTTATAATTATACTATTTATTGCCGGGCTGGACCAATAGCCTCCAAAACAATACAGAGAAACCCTATCTCGTAAAAACCAAAAAAAAAAATTATACTATTTATTAAAGACAAAGATGAATTTGCATACTAATTCAATGGGTGTGCTTGTTTATTTTTATATAAAAATTCAATCTTGGCTGAGAACCTATGATGTTTTTAAGGATATTGTAAATTTATAGTTGTTGATGCTGAGAACATTGCTTTGCATGAATTCATAATGCAAACCAAGAGAAGGATGTTTAAGACGTTTTCATAAGTTGTACATTCTGTCCCAACCCCAAATCAAAATTCATTTAATGATTTTATTATGAAACTCAAGTCAGAACTCAAATAGCAGTTTTAAAGTCAAAATCTAGGGCTAGAGAGATGGCTAAGTTGTTAAAGCACTGATTGAGCTTCCAGAGGACCCGGGTTCGATTCCAATACCCACATGGCAGCTCACACCCATCTGTAACTTTCTTTTCTGGCTTTTGTGGGCACTGTAGACACATAATGCAGACATTCATATGGACAAAACACCCTTACATGAAAAATAAAATATCTTTTGGTTGTGAGCCTAGCCTTTAACGGCTGAGCTATCCCTCCAGCCCAAAATAAAATATTTTTTAAGATTCATTTATGTGTATGAATGTTTTGTGATAGGGAAGTCCTGAGTATATGTTAATAAAGCACTGTTGGCCAATAGGGAAGCAAGATAGGTGGGACTAGGAGTCGAGGAGGATTCTGGGAAAGAGACACAGGCAGACACCATGTAGGCCACCAGAGGAGTAAAAGGTCCGGACCCTTTTCTCTGGTAAGAGAAATACTTAGATTAACAATTATGGATTAAATACTTAAGTCAGAGCTAGCCAGTAAGAAACCAAGCAAACAGCCAACAGCTTTATAATTAATATAGCATCCTGTGTGTTATTTGGGGGTTCAGACAGCGTGGCAGGGCCCAGGCAACTGGCGGGGAAAACTACACTCTACAGTTTTGCATGCATGTTTGTGCACCACATACATGCCTGGTGCCCATGGAAGTCAGATCCCCTGGAACTGGAGTTATGGATGGTTGTGAGTCCCTAAAATAAGATTTTATATCAAATATTCCAACACAATACAACCCAAGGAGATGCTAATCTGACACTTGCATCTTGAGAGATGAATCCTAGGAAAATATTAAAGTCTGTTTCCCATGGTTAAGCCATTACATTTCTCTCAGAGTGGAGAAGACTGCAGTTCATAACTGGATAGTCTTGAACCTCAGCCAAGCGTTTCAGGCAGTGTTGGTTGGCCCTGCATGGCATGATGGCACACACAGTACAAAGTGCTCCTTATTTGTGTTATTTATGTGGGTATAAGTATTGGTGTCCTGGAAACTGCTGGATCCTCTGGAGCTGAAATTCTGAGTCACCTAATATGGGAGCTGGGAAC